GGCCATGCTGGCCTTGTGTCGAGAGCAGCGCTTGGAGCACAGAACGAAGCACATTGCTCTCCGTTACTTTCTTGCTCGTGAGCTGCAGCAGCGTGGTCAGTTGCGACTTGCGTACGTGGCCTCTGAGGCCAACACTGCTGATGTGTTCACCAAGGCACTTGCGCCTTGTGACCATCAGCGCTTCTGCACCCAGCTGGGTCTTGTACCTGTCTTGCCTCACTTGCTCTCTTCTTGACCTTGCTTGTACTGTCACATATATATTCCTGCTCTTGCTTGTCTAGCTCTATATATATATGTGTACTCCTGCATGTGAACTGGCCCTGTTGCCCTGTCGTTGTGCTCGGACTGTGTGGTGACTTTGTGATCCACCCTGAGCTTGCTCTGCTTTGCTTGACTGGTCTTGTGACCCCTTGTTCTCCCCCACTTTGCCTATGGGGGTGTGTCAGAACATATATATAGCTTATGCTGTTGTGTAGGCTATAGTGGGGTATCCCATAGGGGGTACAACCCAATTAGGGTTTCCCATATGTACTCACTTCATTGATAGTTCATTCATCCTCGTTCTACTTTTCTCAGGTCCTGCGAGTCCTAGTGGCGGTGGAGCTGTGGGTGACCCTGCTGGAGGTCCTGGAGCTGGACAGCCACCGCAGCCTGACCTACTTGAGACACTCTCGCCGCAGGCGATTCGTGCGTGGATCGTTCGGCGAGGCAGTCCTGGTGGTGGAGGGTACGGTCCTGCTGGTGCTGGAGCTGCTAGTCCTGGAGGTACTGTTGGTGCTGGAGGCACTGGAGGTACTGCTGGTGCTGGAGGTTCTGCTGGTGCTAGAGGTACTAGAGGTGCTGCTGGTGCTAGAGGTGCCGGAGCTACTAGTCCTAGAGGTGCTACTGGTGCTGGAGGTGCTGGACCTACTAATCCTGGAGCTACTGGAGGTGCTGGAGGTGCTACTGGTGCTAGAGGCGCTGGAGCTAGAGGTACTGGAGCTGCTGGAGCTGCTGGTCCTGGAGGTGTTCGTACTGGAGGTGCTGGAGCTGCCGGAGCTGGTGGTGCTGTTCGTGCTGGAGGTGCTACTTGAGCTGCTGGCGGTGGAGGTACTGGAGGTACTTCTGGTGCTGGAGGTGCTGGAGCTGCCAGAGCAGGTGGTACTGCTGGTGCTAGAGGTGCTGGAGGTGCTACTGGAGCTGCTGACACTGGAGGTGCTGGAGGTACTGCTGGTGCTGGAGGCGCTGGAGCTGGAGGTACTGGAGGTACTGGAGGTGCTGGAGCTGCTGGTCCTGGAGGTGCTCGTACTAGAGGTACTTGAGCTGCCAGAGCAGGTGGTGCTGCTGGTGCTGGAGGTGCTGGAGGTGCTATTGGAGCTACTGGCACTGGAGGTGCTAGAGGTACTACTGGTGCTAGAGGTCCTGGCACTGTCGGAGCTAGTGGTGCTGCTAGTGCTGGAGGTGCTGGAGGTGCTGGAGGTACTGCTGGAGCTGCTGGTGCTTGAGGTACTGGTGCTACTAGTGCTGGAGGAGTCGGAGCTGCTGGTACTTCCCTGCGCACACCGTTTTTTTTTACCCACAGCCGCAGTCATCCCTGCCGCCGCCTGACTCAGTCCTTCGCCAGGTTCTTAGTCTCCCGTCTTCCCCTGGCCTCCCTCTACCCCTCCAGTGTCCACCGACAGACAAGTCTCAGCCAGAGCTACTGCCTGGCTCCCCGCTGCCTGCGCCTGCTCCTCACACTGAGGTGACTGAGTCCCTGACTAAGCGTCGTGAGCCTGAGACTCGTGCTTCCACACCTGTTTGTGCTCGTCGTGTTGCCCGTCCTCGTCCTCCTGCTGTCCTAGGCACTCACGGTATGGCAATTCGTCCTTCCTCTGTTCCACTACGTGTTGTCCTACCTGAGCCTCCCGCGTCCTCTCTTCTGCACGTTCCTGACCCTGAGTCCGACCTTGCTCGTGCTGCCAGTCCTACTGTCACTCGTCTCCTCGCTAATGTCGTCACTGATCCTGACCTTAAGTCTACTGCAGCGTTTGCCCTAGTCACTGAGCTAGTCGACTTTGCAGCTAGGAGTCGTCTCGACTACGTCGCGACTCTTGTCACTGATTTTGAGTCTGTCTGTCTTCCGTCCGTCGGGGGTGAGCTTACCCTTGGCAGTGACGTACTTGAGGACAGACAGTTTGAGCTTGAGTGTCTTGCGACCGCTTTACCTCGTTTTGCATCCATGTTGCTTTGCCCTGAGGGAGACCCGGATGCACTTGACATCCCTACCCTGCGCTCTTACACTGAGGCGATCGTGGGTGAGTACTCCTCTCAGTGGCAGACAGCCATGGACGCAGAGATGGCTTCCTGGAAGTCCATAGGCACCTACGTCGACGAGGTTCCTCCTCGTGGGGCAAACATAGTGGCTGTGCCGCCCACCTGGCTTCACTGGGTCGTTTCCTGCGGGTACCCAGTGGAGCCTCTGGCGGCCAGTCTACGGTCTCCGCCAAGCGTCCCGAGAGTGGCACGACACACTGAGGACTACACTTGCGGCTCTTGGGTTTGCTCCTTCCTCTGCTGACCCGTCGCTATTTCTACGCACCGACACTACCTTGCCGCTGTTCTACATTCTAGTGTACGTCAACGACTTGGCTTTTGCTACTGCTGACACTGGGGCGCTGGCCCTAGTGAAGGCGGAGATGCAGGAGAGACACACGTGCACTTACCTGGGTGAGCTGCGCAGCTATCTTGGCTTGCAGATCACCCGGGACAGAGCACGCCGCACCATCACCCTGACTCAGTCACACATGATGCACCAGGTCCTTCAGCACCACGGCTTTCAGTTCTCCTCGCCACAGCCCACTCCTCTGTCTACCGGCCACTCGCTCTTAGCTCCACCTTCGGACGAGTCCGTAGAGTCGAGTGGTCTGTACCCAGAGCTTGTGGGTTGCCTCATGTACCTGATGACGTGCACACGACCTGACCTTGGGTACCCTCTCAGCCTCCTGGCTCGCTACGTGGCTCCCGGTCGACACCGAAAGGTGCACTGGGATGGTGTGAAGAGGGTACTGCATTACTTGTCCAGTACATCGGGCATGGGGCTAGTGCTTGGAGGACAGGGTTCAGTGGTACTCACAGGACACTCCGACGCTTCTTGGGCCGACGACCAGGCGACTCAGCGTTCGTCACTGGGTTACACCTTCAGTCTTGGCTCTGGTTCTGTCTCGTGGAGGTCCACTCGTTCTTCTTCTGTGCTTGGCTCCAGCTGTGAGGCCGAGATCTACGCTGGGGCCATGGCTGCACAGGAGCTACGCTGGCTGACCTACCTGCTGACCGACTTGGGGGAGCGACTTCGTTCTCCTCCAGTTTTATATGTCGACAACAAGGCAATGCTTGCCTTGTGTCACGAGCGGAGACAGGAGCACAGAACGAAGCACATTGCTCTTCGCTACTTCCTTGCGCGTGAGCTCCAGCAGCGTCGTCAGCTCCGCCTTTCCTACGTGGCCTCGCGGGCCAACACTGTTGATGTGTTCACCAAGGCCCTTGGGTCTGGTGATCATCAGCGTTTCTACACTGCTCTTGGGCTTGTGCCCACTCTGCCTCACCTACTGGTTGCTTGACTTGCTCTTGTTGTACACTGATATATATCTTGATACCTACTTGTTTACTCTTGCTAGGTTGTGATTATTGTACTGCCTTGCTAATATAACTCTGCATGTGAACTGGCCTTGTGGCCGCTTGCTTGTGCTCGGATTGTGTGGTGTCCTTGAGATCCACCCTGAGTTTTGCTTTGCTTTGCTCTGTTGTCTTGCTTCAGTGGTCTTGTGACCGTCTTGTTGTCCCCCACGTAGGCTATGGGGGTGTGTCAAAGTACAATCTTACTTGTAGGCTATAATGGGGCACTCCTTATGGGGTACAACACTTCTAGGGTTAGTACTTGTACCCCAACTCTTGCTAATCCAATCATTCATGCAGAGGGATTCTGACAATTCAGTTGATAAAGGAATGTACCCCTCAGAGTACATGGCTAGCTAGGATTGCTATTTATATTTTTGTACCACTATCATTTAATCATCTTGTTCTCTTTCAACTTACCGTAATACCCCGGATATAAGCGCACCTGCGCTTATAATAAAACAGTGTTTTTTGGGGGGGTGCGCTTATAATTGAGTCAGATTTATAAGCGCATGCGCTTATATAATAACAAATGCAAATTTATAATTCATTGGCACCAAACTGTACATCTCCTTCTTGTGATTTCAATCGAATCGAAGTGGTAGCGAGTCGCAATTCAGATTCGCGCGTGAGCGATTTTCTGCCGGCGCACAGGGGAAAATTTACACGTCACTATCAGAAATGCCAGCTCATACTGACTGGACGTGCAGTATGTGAGGTCCTCGAAAGTCAATCGAAGCGAAAATAGTTGTATCCTCACTGCAAAATTTGAAATCGCTACCGTTTTAATCTGGTTTAAATCTTAGAATTATACGTGCGCTTATAATAAATCAAGGTTTTACAGGGGGTGCGCATATAAATGAGGATTGGCCATAAGCGCATTGCTCCAGATACAAGCGCATGCGCTTATAATAGGCCTGCGCTTATATCCGGGGCCATACTGTATTAACAAGGTCATTACAAAGGCTTCTTTGTCTACTCTCAGACTTGACAGACTTATCATATCCACTCAGATTCTTCACTTATTACAACACGACTGATGACCTGTGGGCGGATGAGAGAGTGGGGCAGGAAGTGGGGTCTGGAAGGTTGCTTGTGGCTGGACTTTGTCCCAGGGCTGCTGCAGTGTCAGCCGTTGCTGCTCATGCCCCGGGGCGCGTGAAATAGCAGCTGCTGCTGCTCATGCCCCGGTGCGCTGAAACGCATGGTTGTGGGTGCGCTGAATTATATGATCTTGCCGGAACCGAGCCATAGTATTGGGCGATATATTAGGTTTTCTGGCTAGCATATATTCCGAACTGAGGCTCTCATTGAGTCAATAAACCCGGAATTTAAAGGCCAATGTAACTATAGAAGGTACTACAGCACTAGTGATGTTTAATGATTCGGGCAAGTCTATAAACCCGATATAATTTAACTGCCAATTTGGCAGAGGCTTCACCACCACCCTTGGTGACATTCGCAAAAGCGCCACTCGCCACACCATTCTCAAATGTTTTGGTGTAGATGAGAGCAGAGTAGGTGTCAGGTGCAGCCAGCATGGCATCCGCCAACTCCTTATACGTCTGCCCGTTATCCGCCGTCAAAGTACTGGCGCTTAGCCAAGTGCCGGAGGTTTCGTAGTTATAGCCGAGGGGAGGGGGAGGGGGAGGCGGCTGCTTGCCCTTCCTGCCCTTGGGAGTCAGTTTGCCGCCCAGCTTGGCGCGCTCGGCGTTTGAGAGCGTGCAATTGGTCCACGTGGCGTCACTGGTGAGCACGGTGAGTGCCACGTCAGCGCCGGTCTTGATGACGACACCAATGGGCTCGCCAGAGTCGTTCAGACTCACGCGGACGTGGTAATAAATGTCGTAGTCGTTGGTCGTGGCGTTGCTGCGGGGGGGGGGAAGGGTGGGTGGCAAAGAGGGGCAGGGATGGGCGGGTGTTTGGCGGGTGGTAAGCAAAGTCGTAGTTGGTAGCTGTGACGTTGCTGCGGTGGTACGTGGTAAGCAAAGGCAAGGAGGGGCAGGGAGGGGCAGGGAGCGGCAAGGCGGGGCAGTGAGGGGCAAGGAGGGGCAAGAGGTTTTTTAGGCTCACGCGGACGTGATAGTGAATGTTGTAGTAAGGAGGCAAGGAGGGGCAGAGAGGGGCAGAGGGGGGCAGAGAGGGGCAGAGAGGTGAACTGAGGGGAGAAGTGTACTGAACGAAGGTTGGGGGGACGGATGGGAATGATGGGACAGCTAACCGGAAGATGGTGAGTAGGAGAAGAGAAAGGAGACGAGAGAAGGAGAAGCTTACAGAAAGACGGCGAGGTCAATGCAGCCGGTGGCGTTGACGTCACCGCTGAGGTCAGCATTAGAGCCGTTGACACGCGCTGCGACCACGCCTGCACGAAATGGCGGAATCACGGAAAACAAAGAAAGGTTGTGACAAGGAAGGAATGCAGAGAAAATGAATCGGAGACGCGCTGTGAGACGCGCTGCCAACGCACCGTGAGAACCGGAGGGGGCACGGCGGGTGGTTGATTCCTAAAGTGGTAAGAGGTAGGCAAGAGTGGGGGAGGCAAAAGTGGGCGAGGCAAGAGTGGGCGAGGCAAGAGTGGGCGAGGCAAGAGTGGGCGAGGCAAGAGTGGGCGAGGCAAGAGTGGGCGAGGCAAGAGTGGGCGAGGCAAGAGTAGGCGAGGCAAGAGTGGGCGCGGAAGTCTCCCTTTATTATGGGCTTACCGACAAGACTGCCGAACTTATCGCCGCCATGCTTCCCTCCGTCCTTCCCGCCCTTCTTCCCTCCGTCCTTCCCGCCCTTTTTGTCCTTCGGTGGTGGCAGAAGCGGGTCCGACTTAAACTGCCCGCGCGCCGCACCCGAGACATAACCAGTCGTCGCGAACGACGCGTAGTAACCATCCGGATTCGCGAGCATCGCATCCACCAGCACCTTTAGAGTCTGCCCGCCGATCGTGGCCATTGTACTCGCTGTAAGCCACGTCCCGTTTGTGGCATAAGTGTACTTCGGAGGAGGCGGGGGGGGAGGTGTTCCCTTGTTCTTCTTGCCCTTGGGAGGGGGAGGAGGCGGACGGGTAAGATTCGTCCACGTGACGGTTTTTCCTGCCTCTACTAAAAGGGCGGAAGCGTCGCCCGCCTCTCCCGCCGCGCCGAGCGATATCGAAGCGCCGAGCGGCTCGCCGGCGTCGGAGGCGGAGGCGACGACACTGTAGAAGACATTGTAGTCGCCGTCTTGCCTGACGGATTCCGTCAGGGTTCACACAAGCGAGCGGAAGGGAAGAATTGCTCAGAAAGGTGAGAGAGGTTTCGGGAAGATGATGTGGAGCAGCGGAAACCGGCGGTTTATTCAACGGGTAGGCGGAAGGGAGACGGCAGCACATAGGATCAGGGGGCGCACCACCGGCGGTTGGCTTACTGGAAGACGGCGAGGCAGGCTCGGCCGGTGGCATTGACGTCGCCCGTCGCCCCAACCACTTCGGATCCGTTCAGCCGCGCGGCGAGAATCGCTGCACGGAGACGCGGAGGGAAGCGTACGTGGAGGGGAGGGGAGCGAGTGTGTGGGAGAAGGGCGGAGAGGACAGTGAGAGCGCGGAGAGCAGGGCAGGGGAGCTCGAATTGAACGACAGGAGGATAGAGGAGAGCGAGAAGAGGAAATAAGTTGCGTGTTGATATCTTAACGCGTGGATCGGTGAAGGGACGCCACACGGTGTAACAGGTTGGGAATTCGCCATGCGATATGCATGGGAATTTCCGAAAGGGAACGATGACGTTGCCTAGCTAGCTCCAAACAGGAACACTTGCTAGCATAGGGCAGTCCTCCCCATCCCCGTCATACCTTAGAATACAGCAGGGCATGGCATCGAGGCGCTATGCCAAGATGCCATGCCAAAGGAGTAGCGACACGGGTTTCCTTCCAAGTCGCGCTCCTCCCTTCCTTAGCATAAATATCTCTAGTTCTTGTTTGTGGTATCATCCTTTGTCTAATCTAAGAATCCACTTCTTGATTCTCTTCTCAACTCTCTCGTCGACTTCTCTGAAGCTAGGCTTCTCCCTTTGCCTAGCTTCATTCCGCTGCGACACTCTTCTACTTTCTAGCTACGGCGCCACACCTTCGCCTAGGCCGGCCTGGCCAGCTGCGCCGTAGCCCTGTTTCATTGGTATCCGAGCCTTACGTTCCTCGGCTTCTTCTCTCGTGCTAAGCTAGCAGCTTTCCTCCTAACTTCTACTTATGAAACTCTTCAATTCGACTTCTACGAGTCTACTACCTTGGAGGAGCTAGCATGGCGAGTTAGTTCCTGCTCCAACTCTGGTGAAGTCGAGATCTACTTGGTGAGGTCGAAATCTGCTTGGCGAGTTAGTTCCTGCTCCAACTCTGGTGAAGTCGAGATCTACTTGGTGAGGTCGAAATCTGCTTGGCGAAGTCGAAATCTGCTTGGCGAAGGTTCGTGAACCTGTGATTGGGCGAAAGATCAGCCAACCAGAAAGTTTGGGAGCAGAATTTCGAATTTCGTAATGACCCTGCTCCTCAAGGCGTCTTCTTACTGTTACACTTCGACCTCCATGCATATTTGGCGGTATTGCTGAACGTGTTATAGGCACCAGCGTTGAGGCAGCTTGGTATGGGTTGTGCTGCTCAGTAAGAAGCGCCATAGCTGAGGAAGCATGGGCTTAATTGAAATTGGCCACGACCATGACCAAGAACTGCATGTAACCGCAAGAGCTGTAGTATGGGCTGCAGCTATATGCCGAACCCCCTGTTTTCTACTCTGGATAATCTCCTATGAAGTTTGAAGAAAACTGAAGACCAAGTGAAGAGCAAGAGCGAAGGTCAAGCATATCTTGTACATATTTTCTGATTTAGACATTTATGATGCTTGGATGCTTGTTGTATTTTCTGGTTTAGACCTTTGAGTATTTGGATTGGATAAGCATCGGGACGATGCTTCTTGGGGAGGGGAATAATGTAACAGGTTGGGAATTCGCCATGCGATATGCATGGGAATTTGCGAAAGGGAATGATGACGTTGCCTAGCTAGCTCCAAACAGGAACACTTGCTAGCATAGGGCAATCCTCCCTATCCCCGTCATACCTTAGAATATAGCAGGGCATGGCATCGAGGCGCTATGCCAACATGCCATGCCAAAGGAGTAGCGACACGGGTTTTCTTCCAAGTCGCGCTCCTCCCTTCCTTAGCATAAATATCTCTCTAGTTCTTGTTGTCAAACATATGTTTATATGTTTAAGTTAGATAGGCTGTAGTGGGGTACTCACTGTGGGGTACAACCCCTTAGTTTTTTCCTCTTGTACCAACACTCTCGATAGTTGAATCATCCATTGCCTAGCCTTTCGACATGGCATCTAGAGCGTAGGTCCTTAGGACCTAGGATTAGGGCCCACCTCACCTGCCTTGCATACTGCCCGCGCGCGCCTCGGCTGCCCGCGCGCGGCCCCCTTTTTTTTTTGCCGCGCATGCCTCTTACGCAGCTCGCGCGGCCCGTTTAGGCCCCGCCCGCGCGCCACTTCCGCAGCTCGCGCGGCCCGTTTAGGCCCCGCCCGCGCGCCACTTACGCCGCCCGAGCGCAGCCCGTTTAGGCCACGCCCGAGCAGCCCGCCGCCGCACGCCGCCCGCAGTCGCGCGAGGCCCGTCGCCACGCGCAGCCACGCAGTCGCGCGCAGCCCGTCGCCACGCGCAGCCACGAGCCGCGCGCAGCTCGTCGCCACGCGCGCTGCCCGCAGCCACGCGCGCAGCCTGCAGCTTAGCGCAGCAAGCCGCCTGCTGCTGCTGCCTGCCTGCCTGCTGCTTGCTGCCTGCTGCCTGCCTGCTGCTGCTGCCTGCTGCTGCTGCCTGCTGCCTGCTGCTGCCTGCTGCAGCCGCTCCTGCCTGCCACCTGCCTGCAGCCTGCCTGCTGCCTGCCTGCTGCCTGCCTGCTGCTTGCTGCCAGCTGCCTGCCTGCTGCTGCTGCCTGCTGCTGCCTGCTGCTGCTGCCTGCTGCCTGCTGCAGCCGCTCCTGCCTGCCACCTGCCTGCAGCCTGCCTGCTGCCTGCCTGCTGCCTGCCTGCTGCTTGCTGCCTGCTGCCTGCCTGCTGCAGCCTGCCTGCCGCCTGCCTGCAGCCTGCCTGCTGCCTGCCTGCTGCCTGCCTGCTGCTTGCTGCCTGCTGCCTGCCTGCTGCAGCCTGCCTGCCACCTGCCTGCTGCCTGCCTGCTGCCTGCCTGCTACTTACTGCCTGCTGCCGCCTGCCTGCTTGCTGCCTGCTACCGCCTGCCTGCCACCTGCCTCCTACCTGGTGCCTGCTGCCTCTGTCTGCTGCCTGCTGCCTGCTGCCTCCTGCCTTAAGCCAATATGGCGACGCCCAACGTTCTCGCATTCGAGCCTGACGGTCGTCCCCTCGAGTTCACTGTGTGGTTAGACGATCTCTAGCTGTTCCTTCTGACTGATGCCAAAGAGGGCGTTTCCCTGTTTGATTACGTCTCTGGCACTGCCGTTACTCCTGCTGCTGATGCTCCTGCTCTAGAACGCTCCCAGTGGCAGACTCGTGATGCTGCTGCACGCCTAGCTATTAGGAACCACCTGCCGATTACTGAGCGAGCGCACTTCAGCCAGCACAGAACTGCTAAGACACTGTACGACGCTGTAGTTGCGCGCTACTCCTCCCCGGCCACTGCAGCCATAGGTCGACTCATGCTACCGTACCTGTTCCCCGATCTTTCCTCGTTCACCACTGCTGAGGACCTAGTTTCTCACCTACGTGCTACTGACTCTCGCTTTCGTGCCGCTCTTTCAGCCGAGTTCTGCGCCGCAAACCCCCCCCCCCGATGTACTTCACTCTCTATTTCCTCGTCACCCGCCTCCCTGACACTCTTAGCTCTGTCAGGGACCACTTCCTAGCGCTAGACCCCACCACTCTCACTGTCGACGACTTCGAGAAGCACCTCCTCGCAGCAGAGAAGAACATCCTCGCTGTAGGTGCTGCTCGTGGCACTCCCCGCTCTCCCCTCTTTGAGGGGTGCTCCCCCTCCCCTCTCACCCCCTCCTACGCATCCGCAGCTGCTGCTCACGACTACCTTGGTGCTGAGGAGGTCGGAGCTGCTTCCGCTCCTAGAGGGAAGCGTCGCAGCGGCAGGGGCGGCAGGGGTGGCAGGGGCGGTGGGGGTGGCGGTGGAGGTGGCGGTGGTGCAGGTGGCGGGGAAGGTGGAGGTGGTGGGGGTGGTAGTGGGGGTGGAGGTGGTGGAGGTGGTGGTGGGGGCGGCGGAGGCACTGTGAGCGGTGCAAGGGGGAGCAGCGGCGATGGGGGAGGAGGGAGCGGTGGTGGCAGTGGTGGTCAGGGCCAGCAGCAGCCGCAGCAGCAGCAGCAGCACCAGCAGCAGCAGCGTCAGCGCCAGACCCCCACTTCCCAGCAGCTTCTTGATTGGTATGCCAGGCGTGGGGTTTCTGGGGGTCCTGGTCGCTGCCCCTATATTATCCGCACTGGTCCCCGCACTGGTCGCCAGTGCACAGGTTTTCACACTGAGCAGCGCTGCTTCGCTCGACTTAGCGACGCCTGGCGTGCCAAGTTTCCTGATGCTCCTGAGTTCCCCAACTGGGCAGACTTGCTTAGGCGTGATGTCCCTATCTTTGATCTTGACTATGAGGCAATTCTTGCTGCTATGTATGCATTGTCTGTTAGTGCTGAGGGTGACTGCTACTTGTGTGTGCCGCCAGCTCCTGGTATAGTCCCTGGTATAGCCCCTGCAGCACTTGGTGCTTGTGAGTCTGCTCCCCCTGGTACTGCGCCTTCACAGGCCTTGCACACCTTTACACTTGACTCTGGTGCTTCCCGCTGTTTCTTTCGCGACAGTACCACAGTCACTCCCCTCCCTGCACCTGTTCCTGTCTCACTGGCTGACCCCTCTGGGGGCCCAGTGCTTGCACGGTCTTCCACTGTGCTTCCGTGTCCGGCGGTCCCGTCTGGTGAGCTGTCTGGTCTCCACCTCCCCTCGTTCTCTACGAACTTGGTGAGTAACGCTGTCCTCCAGGATGCGGGGGTTGACACCTTCACCCCTGGCCGGCAGCGTGTGGCGATTTGCACGTGCTCCTAGACTGGTCGCCACCTGGCCACGTTCACTCGTGCGCCAGGATCCAGTCTGTACACCCTCACCACTGCGTCGCGCTCCGCCCCTTTGTCTCCCCAGTTGCACGCTTCTGCTCAGGTTGCTACACAGTGTGAGTGTCGCCGGCTGTCGCACGACACTCTCCTGTGGCACCACCGCCTTGGTCACCCCTCCCTGCCTCGCCTTCGTAGCATGCATTCTCGCTTCCTTGTTTCTGGTCTTCCCAGGTCTCTGCCTCCCCTCCCTCCCTCGCCTGCGCCGCCCTGCATTCCTTGCGTCGAGGGGCGGCAGCGCGCCGCTCCTCACTCCTCCTCGTTCCCTCCCACAGAGGCTCCACTGCAGACTCTCCACCTGGACGTGTGGGGCCCAGCCCGCGTCCGTGGACCGGGCCACAAGCGGTACTTCCTGCTGGTTGTCGACGACTACACGCGTTACACCACGGTCTTCCCCTTGCAGTGCAAAGGGGATGTCCCTGCTGTTCTGATCCCCTGGATCCGCGCTACTCGTCTCCAGCTCCGCGAGCGGTTCCAGTCGGACTTTCCTGTCCTGCGTCTGCACTCTGACCGAGGTGGTGAGTTCTCCTCAGACCTCTTGGCAGCCTTCTGTGCGGAGCACGGCATCCGCCAGACTTTCACGCTTCCGGCCTCTCCGCAGCAGAATGGGGTTGCTGAGCGCCGCATTGGCTTAGTCATGGAGGTCGCTCGTACCTCCATGATCCATGCGGCTGCCCCCCATTTTCTGTGGCCGTTTGCGGTCAGGTACGCC